TGGCATCCTAGGAAATCCCAAATCATGTGTTATAGGCTTGAATATTAGTAATGAAAGAAAAAGAGAATACATGGAAGAAGTGGAAAAATAAAGAAAAGTCTAATCTTGGTAGCTTATAAAATGCCACAATTCAACTCACAGAGAACTCAAAACCACCCTATGGTTTAAACCTATACGAAGGGAGGCTATTCATGTCGTTACATAATTGAGTAGCAAGCACTGTAGGTACAGTCCACCACCATTGAAAACCTGAATAGGATAAACCAATATTTGCGCATTTATCGGCTACAACATTTCCTTCTCAAAAGATATGACTAAAACGGAAGTTCATATGCTGCAAATACTACCTGCAATTTAGCCAGCAAATTTTAAGGGACCAGGGTGGGTCATAAGATGGATTAGCCAAACATCGAATGATAGTGCGAGAGTCAGACTCCAACCAGAGGTATCTCCAACCCTTCTGCCAAGCTTGTTCAATACCAATAATAACTGCGACCAATTCAGCATAGAAAGTAGTTTGCACACCCAAAAATTCACTAAAAATTCCCTTAACAAAACCCCTATTAGTTCTATAAATACCAGCAGCAACAGCCAGCCCAGGATTTCCTTTGGCTAAACCATCTGTGTTCAGTTTAATCCAACCACTACGAGGGGGATACCACTTTACAGGAATAATTGTAGGAGCCTTTTTGTATAGACCTTGAACACCAATAGATCTAAGAATCAATAGATTAGAAACAGAATTATCTATTATTCCAACACTACTTTTACCAATAGTAGAAAACATAGAGAGAATATGAAGGCAAGATTGTTTGAGAAATGGCTTTTGGCCTTCAAAACGGCATGAATTACAAGAATACCAAATAGTCTCAAACACCAAAAGCATTGCAGCTATCCATAGATTTTATAATTGGGAGCTCACAGTACAAGAAAAAATATGCTGCCAAAAATCGAAAACAGAAATATTCTGGGTCGGAACATAGACCTAGAACATCGAAGCTAACCATCTCCATAAATCTGTAACAAATTCACAAGAAATGAACAAGTGACAGACATCTTCCCAATGACCTCTAGAAGTGCATAAACTACAACAAGAGGCCATAGAGCATCCCCGTTTTTGAAGTTGATCATCCGTAGGGAGTCTATCCCAAAAAAGTCCCCATGCCAAAAAAGAAAGCCTGGGAGGAATGAATGAGTGCCATAATAAATGAGCCCAAGGAACAATAGTCATCTGATCACGACAGTAGGAATAAGCATCAGAGAATGTTAATGCACCTGAATTACTATAAGGCCAAACTAAGAAGTCAGCTCTATCATCCATAGGAAGAGTCGTCCTTTGAATAACATTAGACAAATCTGGATAAGCCAACAGAAAATTAGAAAGCAACGACCAAGAGTGGTTGGAAATAAAATGGGACACATTACAATTTAAACCAACAGCCAAAGAAGGAAGAATCTGAAGTTGTTGATAAATAGACTCCCCTAACCAATTATCATTCCAAAAATCTACTTTCCTGCCATCACAAACTACCCACTGAGCATGAAGAGCAATATCAGGCAAAATAGACTTTAAACCCGGCCAGATAGAAGAAATCTTGTAAGTATATGAAGTTTTAGATAAAGATAAATGAAATCTAGCCTGCATGAGTCCACTCCAGGCACTATTATCATTTAACATACACCAACAGGTCTTCATAAGAGCAGCACGATTAAGAGCCTTAAAACAACGTAGTCCAAGACCACCCTCTGCAAGAGAAGAACATATACAAGCCCAAGAAACACATACTAACTTTCTAATACTGATATTTCCTGTCCATATAAAATTGCAAACCCAAGACTGTATTGCTTCAACAGAGAAACTGGTAAAAGGTACACCCTAAAAGAGTGCATGAGCATAGGATAAATCACTGCTTTCACCAACTGAACTCTCCCAGCTAAGGAGAGAAGTTTACAGTACCAACCCTCTAGTTTAGATTTAACTTTATCAGCCAAATACTGCAGATGGATCCTCTTAGGTTTGCCTTTAAAAATTGGGACCCCCAAATAAGTAAAAGGAGCAGAGCCTTCACTAATACCGAGAGCTGAGGAAATAAAATGTCGTCGATGGACTGCCCCTTTCCCAATAAAAACTCTGCTCTAAGTTTTACTAACTATTTGACCAGACGCCTTACCATAATCATCCAAAAAGTTCAGCAAAGAATGAAAGGCAGAGGAAGTACCTTTACAAAAGACAATACTGTCATCAGCATATAACAAGTGAGTTGGAGCTTTAAACCCTCTAGGAGAGGAAATAGGAGCAATCTTACCCTCAGCAGCCAATAAAGAAATCCCTCTACTAAGTACCTCTTCAGCTAAACATGTTGCCGCATTGGCGTTGGCAGCCGGGTTTGGTGATGTTGCCACCTTTACTGATCGTGTACGTGCTGTTGCTACCGGTGGTGGTGATGCTATTGGCGGTGATGGAGGGGTTTGTCTGGGATGTGACCAAAGTGAACGTGATCAGCCCATAAAAACATAACTAGCCAACATGCAGAAGCATTTTTCTCTGCATTTTGATGTATGGGCATAGAGATAATGTGCCAGCCATTAATATAGACCACCTTACTAAGCCAAAGAATACTATTTCATTGACCAGAATGTGCAGTTATATCATGTCCATATCCTTCATGGTACATGCACTTAAAAATTAGACTTAAAAAGTAAATTTGACAATTACAACCATTGATTTCACTGTGAGTCCCAGCATTTATTAGGACTCACTACCTATTCAATGGTTGTGATTATTAAATCTACTTTTTAAATCTAATTTTTAAGTCTATGTAGCATTACTCATTTTGGTATATAGTTGTATAATTAAATACTTATAGATACTAACATAGCTTATTCTTTTTTTTTCCCCTTTACATATAGGGGTAGATTAGTATTGCAATGAATAACTAACTATTACAATTTCTCAATTCTAAACAATATATCTATAACAAATAACAAAATATTGAGAGAGATATAAAGATATACCCAAAAAAAACACAATAAAATCGGTAAGAAAGGGGCATAAGAAATTAATTTTTACCATTGATAAGGATTGACCCTACAATTTCTTGATTGACAAAATCTTGAAAGAAGAGAAATAACGAACTAGGCAAGGCTTGTTGCATAACAAGGCTTATTCTTTTTAAATACTAATTATTTTCACACAATTATATAGTTAACTGATAAATCATCTTTATAACAAAAAAATATTTTCTTGTATTCCCTTTCTGAGATATCTGTTAGGCCACTCTTTTTGGTTTTCATGTCCCTCTGTATTTTTTCTATTCCACCCGTAATACTGGTATATTTTTTTGTTTTAGGTAACTTTTTATTGCAATAACAATATACAGTCGGAGTAAGATTTATTCTTGTATGCCGGTATCTCATTGTTGACAATCATTGAATAAAATTGACAACACTATATACAAATGAAAATTATATTATATTCATCAAATCAGTTGAGGAGGAGAATGATGAAATTGGGTAGAGGAGTGGGAGTCATGGTAAATCATGTCAATGCAGAAATTGTGCAAATTGACGGACTTAGGAGGGAGGGTGCNCAGCCAATAAAGAAATCCCTCTACTAAGTACCTCTTCAGCTAAACATGTTGCCGCATTGGCGTTGGCAGCCGGGTTTGGTGATGTTGCCACCTTTACTGATCGTGTACGTGCTGTTGCTACCGGTGGTGGTGATGCTATTGGCGGTGNAATGCAGAAATTGTGCAAATTGACGGACTTAGGAGGGAGGGTGCCAAATGCCAATCAATTTCCTTCTACTAAAGTCTTCCACTTATACCAGATTAAGTGTTCACTAATTTATTAACAAAAGAGAAAGAGGGCTGCAATGTTAGAATTGAAATTGCTTTGTGCTTGTCCTTGTCCATGCGCATGTCCGATGATATATTAGATAAAGACTTTTGAGCGTTCTATGCGGCTAAAGATTAGGTCATAGTTGACATTATTTAGCTGCTACCCATGTGATAGCTAGCTATTGACTTTCGAATGCTCCCTATCTTTTCTCTTAATATTCAGATTGTCAGGAAATTTATTTCTTCTTTACTTATACTATTACTATATTTCAGTCAGAGTGGGATTATACCAATCATTAGCCCTAAGTTCATACCTNCATATCCTTCATGGTACATGCACTTAAAAATTAGACTTAAAAAGTAAATTTGACAATTACAACCATTGATTTCACTGTGAATCCCAGCATTTATTAGGATTCACTACCTATTCAATGGTTGTGATTATTAAATCTACTTTTTAAATCTAATTTTTAAGTCTATGTAGCATTACTCATTTTGGTATATAGTTGTATAATTAAATACTTATAGATACTAACATAGCTTATTCTTTTTTTTTCCCCTTTACATATAGGGGTAGATTAGTATTGCAATGAATAACTAACTATTACAATTTCTCAATTCTAAACAATATATCTATAACAAATAACAAAATATTGAGAGAGATATAAAGATATACCCAAAAAAAACACAATAAAATCGGTAAGAAAGGGGCATAAGAAATTAATTTTTACCATTGATAAGGATTGACCCTACAATTTCTTGATTGACAAAATCTTGAAAGAAGAGAAATAACGAACTAGGCAAGGCTTGTTGCATAACAAGGCTTATTCTTTTTAAATACTAATTATTTTCACACAATTATATAGTTAACTGATAAATCATCTTTATAACAAAAAAATATTTTCTTGTATTCCCTTTCTGAGATATCTGTTAGGCCACTCTTTTTGGTTTTCATGTCCCTCTGTATTTTTTCTATTCCACCCGTAATACTGGTATATTTTTTTGTTTTAGGTAACTTTTTATTGCAATAACAATATACAGTCGGAGTAAGATTTATTCTTGTATGCCGGTATCTCATTGTTGACAATCATTGAATAAAATTGACAACACTATATACAAATGAAAATTATATTATATTCATCAAATCAGTTGAGGAGGAGAATGATGAAATTGGGTAGAGGAGTGGGAGTCATGGTAAATCATGTCAATGCAGAAATTGTGCAAATTGACGGACTTAGGAGGGAGGGTGCCAAATGCCAATCAATTTCCTTCTACTAAAGTCTTCCACTTATACCAGATTAAGTGTTCACTAATTTATTAACAAAAGAGAAAGAGGGCTGCAATGTTAGAATTGAAATTGCTTTGTGCTTGTCCTTGTCCATGCGCATGTCCGATGATATATTAGATAAAGACTTTTGAGCGTTCTATGCGGCTAAAGATTAGGTCATAGTTGGCATTATTTAGCTGCTACCCATGTGATAGCTAGCTATTGACTTTCGAATGCTCCCTATCTTTTCTCTTAATATTCAGATTGTCAGGAAATTTATTTCTTCTTTACTTATACTATTACTATATTTCAGTCAGAGTGGGATTATACCAATCATTAGCCCTAAGTTCATACCTATTTGTCTTAATTATGGATGAACTCACTAGCCACATTCAATATTATATCCCCAAGTGTATGTTATTTGCAGATAATATTGTCTTAATCAGTGTTATGAAAAGCGCGCCTAGGCGCTCGCCTAGGCGAGAAGCGAGGCGAGGCGAGACTTGCTCGCCTGGAGGAACCCAGGCGAAGCGAACGTGAGCGAGGTGAGAAAAAAGCGAAAAAAGCGAAAAAACGATCGCTTTTGTTATGCGAGGCGAAATATTTTATTTTTAATTTAGACCGTAGGATTGGGCGATTGCAAAAAAAATTTTAAGATGTTAATGTACCGAATTATTCTCTTATCCTATAAATAAAACTCCTAACCTAATTTTGTTTATTTTTTCTCAGATAGCTTCAATCGGTGCTTCAATCGGTGCTGCCTCTCCACTGCTACACGATCGATCGGTGCTGCTCTCCACTGCTTCGATCGATGCTGCTTCGATCAGTGCTGCTCTCCACTGCTACACGATCGATCGGTGCTCCTCTCCACTGCTACACGACCGATTTGGTGCTGCTCTCCATTGCTGCTCTCCACTGCTACACGATCGGTACTGTTCTCCAGTGCTACACTCCAAGGCTTCGAGTTTTCGCTACTTCTACACCATTGTTGTTGCTGGACTGAGGGTTTGGAGGGCTGGTCTGGACTGTGGAGGTTAGTCTCTTCTTCTTCTCTCTTCAATTTTTTTTTCTTCTGTCTTCTGCTCCTTCACCGATTCTGGTTTTTTTTTTTTTTTCTTGATCTGATTCTACCCTATCCTGCTCTGATTCTACCCTATTCTGCTCCGATTGTGCTTTTTTTTTTTTTTCATTATGCGTCTGTTTTTTTTTTTTTTTTTTGCTTTTTCCTTATGTTGCTGTCCAAACTCCATTCGATGTGAAGATCCCATAAAAATGTGAGTTAAAACCATATGTAAGCCTAGAAAAAAAAAAAAAAAAAAATTGTGAATGAAACTCCAGTCCGAAATACAATTTAATTAAGCTTTGATGGCATCTCACTCTCACATGATATGATCATTATAGGTGAACTAAATTTAACATACAGATTCAATTGTTCTTGCAATGGTATTTTGGACTAGAATGCAGGCAGTGATACTTGACGTTTTACATGGAATGGTATTGCTTCCCTATTCTTGGCCTATTGCCTGCATAAGTAAACCTGGGGCCTTTTCTGTGCTTGCAGTTCTTGCGGAGGCCAAGTGCCTTGGGGCGAGATACATTTGTGTGGAAAAGGATTCAAGCATTTTTACTTATTGAGAATGAATTAAATAAACCGTTTTATCTGATACTTTCATTTTCTGACTGAAAATTTTAAATCATGGTGTTATATTTGATATCTTTTCTATTGTTTAATCTTGCAATTCATGTCTTCAGGAATGTTTCATGAAGTCAAAGCCTTCCAACTGATTCCAAAATCGAATGAATTATGTCTAAGTTGTCAAAAAGTTTTTAAAGACTTCTCTTTTGTAGTCTCATGACATTGATTGTTTTGGAAATAAGTGGACAATGACTGGTTTCTGAGAATGATGGATATTAACGTGATTTGTTGTTTTTGAACAATTTAAATATAACGCTTTTCACGCACTAAATATAAATATTGAACTAAATTTGATGTGTAGTGCGTTAAAGGCGTCATGCCAAATCATGTCTTTAAAAACATTATTTCAAATAATCTTTTAATTCATGAAGGCGTTATTTAAAATAATGTCTTTTTAAAAGTGATTGAATTTGAGAAATAAATTTAAAAATAACTTATTTTGAAAAAAAAAATTGAGGTGGGGCATGCCTTTGGTGAATAATCGTGTGTAAGCTTAGTTTCATTTGGTAATAATATGGTCGGAGATTGCATAAGAATTATACAAACAAATGAAAATGCAAGAGTTAATGCATTCAGTAGAAGTTAAATTGTTTACATGTTAAATATGAAATTGTTTACAACGTAATGCTTCTGGTTTTTTTTTTTTGTGTTGTTGTCCTGATTCTGCTTCTGTCCAGTCAATATGAAATTGCTCCNACATAAACTACAACAAGAGGCCACAGAGCATCCCCGTTTTTGAAGTTGATCATCCGTAGGGAGTCTATCCCAAAAAAGTCTCCATGCCAAAAAAGAAAGCCTAGGAGGAATGAATGAGTGCCATAATAAATGAGCCCAAGGAACAATAGTCATCTGATCACGACAGTAGGAATAAGCATCAGAGAATGTTAATGCACCTGAATTACTATAAGGCCAAACTAAGAAGTCAGCTCTATCATCCATAGGAAGAGTCGTCCTTTGAATAACATTAGACAAATCTGGATAAGCCAACAGAAAATTAGAAAGCAACGACCAAGAGTGGTTGGAAATAAAATGGGACACATTACAATTTAAACCAACAGCCAAAGAAGGAAGAATCTGAAGTTGTTGATAAATAGACTCCCCTAACCAATTATCATTCCAAAAATCTACTTTCCTGCCATCACAAACTACCCACTGAGCATGAAGAGCAATATAAGGCAAAATAGACTTTAAACCCGGCCAGATAGAAGAAATCTTGTAAGTATATGAAGTTTTAGATAAAGGTAAATGAAATCTAGCCTGCATGAGTCCACTCCAGGCACTATTATCATTTAACATACACCAACAGGTCTTCATAAGAGCAGCACGATTAAGAGCCTTAAAACAACGTAGTCCAAGACCACCCTCTGCAAGAGAAGAACATATACAAGCCCAAGAAACACATACTAACTTTCTAATACTGATATTTCCTGTCCATATAAAATTGCAAACCCAAGACTGTATTGCTTCAACAGAGAAACTGGTAAAAGGTACACCCTAAAAGAGTGCATGAGCATAGGATAAATCACTGCTTTCACCAACTGAACTCTCCCAGCTAAGGAGAGAAGTTTACAGTACCAACTCTCTAGTTTAGATTTAACTTTATCAGCCAAATACTGCAGATGGATCCTCTTAGGTTTGCCTTTAAAAATTGGGACCCCCAAATAAGTAAAAGGAGCAGAGCCTTCACTAATACCGAGAGCTGAGGAAATAAAATGTCGTCGATGGACTGCCCCTTTCCCAATAAAAACTCTGCTCTAAGTTTTACTAACTATTTGACCAGACGCCTTACCATAATCATCCAAAAAGTTCAGCAAAGAATGAAAGGCAGAGGAAGTACCTTTACAAAAGACAATACTGTCATCAGCATATAACAAGTGAGTTGGAGCTTTAAACCCTCTAGGAGAGGAAATAGGAGCAATCTTACCCTCATCAGCCAATAAAGAAATCCCTCTACTAAGTACTTCTTCAGCTAAACATGTTGCCGCATTGGCGTTGGCAGCCGGGTTTGGTGATGTTGTCGCCTTTACTGATCGTGTACGTGCTGTTGCTACCGGTGGTGGTGATGCTATTGGCGGTGATGGAGGGGTTTGTCTGGGATGTGACCAAAGTGAACGTGATCAGCCCATAAAAACATAACTAGCCAACATGCAGAAGCATTTTTCTCTGCATTTTGATGTATGGGCATAGAGATAATGTGCCAGCCATTAATATAGACCACCTTACTAAGCCAAAGAATACTATTTCATTGACCAGAATGTGCAGTTATATCATGTCTATATCCTTCATGGTACATGCACTTAAAAATTAGACTTAAAAAATAAATTTGACAATTACAACCATTGATTTCACTGTGAGTCCCAGCATTTATTAGGACTCACTACCTATTCAATGGTTGTGATTATTAAATCTACTTTTTAAATCTAATTTTTAAGTCTATGTAGCATTACTCATTTTGGTATATAGTTATATAATTAAATACTTATAGATACTAACATAGCTTATTCTTTTTTTTTCCCCTTTACATATAGGGGTAGATTAGTATTGCAATGAATAACTAACTATTACAATTTCTCAATTCTAAACAATATATCTATAACAAATAACAAAATATTGAGAGAGATATAAAGATATACCCAAAAAAAACACAATAAAATCGGTAAGAAAGGGGCATAAGAAATTAATTTTTACCATTGATAAGGATTGACCCTACAATTTCTTGATTGACAAAATCTTGAAAGAAGAGAAATAACGAACTAGGCAAGGCTTGTTGCATAACAAGGCTTATTCTTTTTAAATACTAATTATTTTCACACAATTATATAGTTAACTGATAAATCATCTTTATAACAAAAAAATATTTTCTTGTATTCCCTTTCTGAGATATCTGTTAGGCCACTCTTTTTGGTTTTCATGTCCCTCTGTATTTTTTCTATTCCACCCGTAATACTAGTATATTTTTTTGTTGTAGGTAACTTTTTATTACAATAACAATATACAGTCGGAGAAAGATTTATTCTTGTATGCCGGTATCTCATTGTTGACAATCATTGAATAAAATTGACAACACTATATACAAATGAAAATTATATTATATTCATCAAATCAGTTGAGGAGGAGAATGATGAAATTGGGTAGAGGAGTGGGAGTCATGGTAAATCATGTCAATGCAGAAATTGTGCAAATTGACGGACTTAGGAGGGAGGGTGCCAAATGCCAATCAATTTCCTTATACTAAAGTCTTCCACTTATACCAGATCTGTATACTTTTTTAAGTGTTCACTAATTTATTAACAAAAGAGAAAGAGGGCTGCAATGTTAGAATTGAAATTGCTTTGTGCTTGTCCTTGTCCATGCGCATGTCCGATGATATATTAGATAAAGACTTTTGAGCGTTCTATGCGGCTAAAGATTAGGTCATAGTTGACATTATTTAGCTGCTACCCATGTGATAGCTAGCTATTGACTTTCGAATGCTCCCTATCTTTTCTCTTAATATTCAGATTGTCTGGAAATTTATTTCTTCTTTACTTATACTATTACTATATTTCAGTCAGAGTGGGATTATACCAATCATTAGCCCTAAGTTCATACCTATTTGTCTTAATTATGGATGAACTCACTAGCCACATTCAATATTATATCCCCAAGTGTATGTTATTTGCAGATAATATTGTCTTAATAGATGAAACTTGAAGTGGATTAACAATAAGCTAAAAAAATTGGAGAGAGACACTCGAGTTAAAAGGGTTTAAAATAAGTATGAGTTAGATTGCATACATGCAATGCAATTTTAATAGTAGAAGAAGTAGACATAGTGAAAAAGTTAAGATTGAAAATCAAGAAATACCAAAGAGTAAACAATTTAGATANTTAATAGATGAAACTTGAAGTGGATTAACAATAAACTAAAAAAATTGGAGAGAGACACTCGAGTTAAAAGGGTTTAAAATAAGTATGAGTTAGATTAAATACATGCAATGCAATTTTAATAGTAGAAGAAGTAGACATAGTGAAAAAGTTAAGATTGAAAATCAAGAAATACCAAAGAGTAAACAATTTAGATATATAGAATCGATCATTAAAAATGGAGAGATTGTAGACGATGTTAACTCATAGGATTAATGCCAATTGACTTAAGTGGAGGAAAGACTCTGACATATTCTGTAATAGAAGAATACCAATAAAATTGAAAGACAAGTTTTACCGAACAACTATAAGAACATCAATGTTATTGGGACAGAATGTTGGGGAACTAAAAAACAACATAGTAGCAAAATGAGTATAGTAGATATGATAATGTTAAGGTAGGTGTGTGGAAAAACTAGAAAAGATAGAATACGAAATGACTATATTGAAGAAATAGTACGAGTAGCTCTAATTGAGGATAAATTGAGACAAAATAGATTAAGATGATTTGGTCATATTCAATAGAGACCAATAGAAACACTGGTAAAAAACAATTATATAATTTTTCTTAATGGTACTAAGAGTATANGGTACGAGTAGCTCCAATTGAGGCTAAATTGAGACAGAATAGATTAAGATGATTTGGTCATATTCAATAGAGACCAATAGAAACACTGGTAAAAAACAATTATATAATTTTTCTTAATGGTACTAAGAGTATATGGGTGGACCTAAATTAACAGTGAACAAAATAATAAAAAAAATATAAAAATATTTAACTTAAATGAGCGTATAGCGCATGACCGAAATAAATAGCGAAGATGGACTCATACAGTCGACCCCAAATGATTGAAATATAAGAGTTGATTTGGTTTAGCTTGATTGTACTATTACTACACTTGTAAATTGCATAGATTTATCCACCTCTTTTTTTCTTCTAAAATTTTAGAGATATCCCCAATGTAATTTNTACGGACTTATACAGTCGACCCCAAATGATTGAAATATAAGAGTTGATTTGGTTTAGCTTGAT